AGGGTCTTCAGTATTCAGTAGGAGGCATTCATTCTCCAGCCACACTGAAGATAGGAAGGATCAGTATCAAGGAAGATAAGAAGACAATCAGTATCAGGATTCTCTAGCTTCGCTGAGGAGAGGCAGCAAGAGCAGCCCTTTCAGCCTGAGGTAGTGGTAAGAGCTAGTGACCCACTACTTTGCTTTTCTGACCTTCTGAACCCCAATATCAGTCTCTGGGTCATTTGCTTTTCATGTTACATATCATCATCATCATCAATTGTCTTAGACAAAGTTGTATTGCAGTGAAGAGACACCATGACCACAGCAACTCTTATAAAGGAAAACATTTAATTGAAAAACATTTAATTGGGGCTTCCTTATAGTTCAGAGGTTTAGTCCATTATTGTCATGGTGGGAAGCATGGCAGCACACAGGCAGACAGGGTGCTGGAGAGGTAGCTGAGAGTTCTACATCTGGATCAGCAGACAGCAGGAAGAGAGAGTGACATGGCCATTTTCATTCAAACCACCACATTATTATTGTTATTGTTTTTGTTATATGTGGGGGGCATGTGCACACAGGCTCATGCTTGCTAAGACAGCTATGGGGAGGTTAGAGGACAACTTCTTGTGGGAGTTGATTCTTTTCTGTCACTGTGGGTTTTGAGGGCTGAATTCAGGTCATCAGGATTGTGCATCAAGGACTTTTACCCACTGAGCCATACTTTGGGTCCTGAAATATTTTTATTTTCTTCAAGTGTCTAGGTTCATGTCCCATTTTTAACAAGTTATGAACTTAATGGATCTCTATTACTTTTGATGAGAGATAGATTGCTACAAGTGTGAATCACGGAGAACTGGCAGCTACTGAATTGTTAACTAACTGGCAGTTTAGCTTTGATGAAAATTATATACTCCCTTTGGTGGCATCAGGTTTTTACTTAGGTAAGTTAGAGAATACTTTTAGTCTAATAGTTTACATAGAAGTATGAGTGTTCTAGTATAATAGTTTATACTAGAAGTATGAGTGACACTGATACTTAGATTTTCATTTCAGGTGTAAGAAATGAGGGGCATGGTCATATTTTCCCAGATATAACACCAGAGGTATTACCAAATACATACTGAGTAGAGTTAAGTGAATTCTCAGACCCACTTGATCACTGAAGCCTCATTGTGCTGATTGGAAGAGGTAGGTATTTTGAGTGTGACCAGTATTCTCTGGTTAACTCTCTTGTATAATTCTGAACATTAAAAAGGTTAAATTCAAAGCACATGAGTTTATGTGTCATTTCTTATTATAATCAATTATAGTATAATTGATACAGAGCAGTTATTAAGTGGCTATTAAAATAACTTTAGATGAGGTGATGAGATGGCTCAAGAGTGTAAAGGCATCTGCCACCAATCCTGAGGACCCAAGTTCTATACTGGGCCCCACATGGTGGAAGGTTAGAACTGACTCCCTCCATGGACGTGCTGAGTCACGTACTCTTCTATATATACATACTTCCACACACAAAATAAATAAGTGTAAAAAATTTAAAAATATAGACAAAAACACCTATCTAACATACTAAATAATATGAAACTTTCTTTTTGTGCACTATTAATGGCTCTTAAATTGTGTGTGTGTGTGTGTGTGTGTGTGTGTGTGTGTGTGTGTATGTGTGTGTGTGTGATTCCTCAAAGTAAAATGCATGCCACTCAGTATCTAGGAAACATTATTGCAGGAGAGAAAGGAATTGCTATTTGTAATGCTGAGTATGGAGACATTGAACCAGGAAGAAACAAGAGGAAACTCAGACAAAATGGGTTATGAGAATAGTTCTAGAATTAACCTGCTTGGTAATTTTATGGCATGAACACAATGTTTGTATTAACAGAAGTGCATTCTCCAAGAGATCTCTATTCATTTACCAGTGTAGTTCTGGACTGGGCATGATTTTATAATCCTCCCTGCCCTGGGAACATTTTGAAGTGTCTGGAGATATTTTTGATCATCACAATTGGTGTGTGTGTGTGTGTGTGTGTGTGTGTGTGTGTGTGTGTGTGTGTTCTCACATGTGCATGTGTGTATGTACCAGGCATTCTACTAAATATCCTATAATGCCTAGGGCAGTCCCAAATCAAAAAGAATTGCTCAATTCAAATGCCAATGGTGCTGCTGTTGAGAAGCCTGGTTTAGAATATACTAGTTTCACATGTTTCTGAACTAAAAAAAAATCTTTGAAGAGCTTGAGTCAGGAAAGGTCTGGATGCTCCCAGACAAACTTTCCCAAATCTTGCCTTTCTTCTAACCTATTCCTCATCTTCCCTCCTTTTGTTCCCCTTTTCCTCAACTATTCGACATTTCATTCGGCTACATAGTCTATGTAGTGACCAGAAGCAAATATAATAGACACCTACAAAATGTGGGTAGAACTTTGTGTGTGTGTGATATTACTAACACATTTCTTTTAGATCTTAAAAACAATGTCTTTAGGTACCAGGTGGATGTGGTCAAGCTTAGTTTTATACTTGTATGGTGAAACAAATGTCAGGGAACCTCTAAAACACATGGAAAGAACTAATAAAACCTTGCATGTTTCTTTTTTTTTTTTAGAATTCTTTTTTATTTAAATTAGAAACAAGCTTGTTTTACATATCAATCCCAGTTCCCTCTCCCTCCCTTCCTTCTCTGCCCCCCACGGACTCCCTATCCCATCCCCTTTCTGCTCCCCAAGAAGGGTGAGGCCTTCCATGGGGATCGTCAAAGTCTGTCATATCATTTGGAGAAGGGACTAGACCCTCCCCTGTGTTTCTAGGCTGAGAGAATATCCCTCTATGCGGAATGGTCTCCCACAGTCCATTCCTGTCCTAGGGATAAATACTGATCCACTACCAGAGGACCATAAATGAACCAGGTCTCCAAACTGACATCCATGTTCAGGGGGTCTGGAACAGTCCTATGCTGATTTCCCAGATATCAGTCTGGGGTTCACGAGCTCCCCCTTGTTCAGGTCAGCTGGTTCTATGGGTTTCTCCAGCCTGGTCTTGACCTCTTTGCTCATCACTCCTCCCTCTCTGGATTCCAGAGTTAAGCTCAGTGTTTAGCTGTGGGTGTCTGCTTCTGCTTCCATCAGCTACTGGATGAAGGCTCATGTTTGTCTTTTTGCGACTGGGTTACCTAATTCAGGATGGTTTCTTCTAGTTCCATCAATTTGCCTGGTTTAATACTCTGATGACTCTCTTCTTTCCATGGGTGGAGGCCGAGCCTGGATGGGCTGTTCTGCTTGGACAGGTTCCCCAGTGCACAGTCCCCAGTCCTCAGGAGGCTCTGACCTTTCGTGTTTCTTATTTTGTTATTTTTTTATAACAAAGTGTGCCAGAGGTTTAGAAAAATGTTTCTGTATAGAAGGTGTTTGCTTAGAAAAGCAAATAGAAAAGCATTTTAACAAGGCCATTGTTTCTTGTCAGGTTACCAAATGCAGAAAGTTATTACCATTTTCTTACATTCTAAGCACCTAGTTTTTAATGACAGTGCCTCTGGTATACAGTGCTTGGTACAAAGCATGTATGTAGATAACGTTTGCTAAATGAGTTATATCAAAGGTTAAATTCAGGTGGAAAATGGTGAATTGCTTTTTTGCAGCAATACTTAAGAGTAGTCATCTGCCTCTTCCTTCAGTAGCTCGTGCGCTTATGTATTCCAGCGCGATCTGTTGGCATGTCAAATGAAAGCATGCCAAACTCACACTTCCTTCTTACCCAGACTTAGTTCTTTTCCTTTATTTCTAGTTCTTTTTTGCAACCAACTTTCCCAAATTGCCCCTTTTCTTGTTTTTTTTCAAACCCGATTGTTTTTGCTGCCTTTACAAGTGGGGTTTGTGGGGCGGTGGTGACACACGCCTTTAGTCCCAGCACTTGGGGAGGCAGAGGCAGGCGGATCTCTGTGAGTTCTAGGCCAGCCTGGTCTCCAGAGCGAGTTCAGGACAGGCTTCAAAGATACACAGAGAAATCCTGTCTCGAAAAACCAGAAAACAGAACAAAACAAACAAACAAACAAACAAACAACCCCCTCCCCCCAACAAGCTACAAGTGGAGTTTGCATCCATCTTGGACAGTCTTTCCCTACCTGGATCTCTGCCCTTAAGACCCACATTAACTACCTTTTGTCTTGGACCAGTGAGTGCACTCTGATTTCCCTTGCCTCTTCCCATAAATCTTTGTTGTTGGATTGCAATTTCAGTGCCCTGCCATCTTCTTCACCAGAATAACCCAATTTAGCACAATTGGTTTTTGGTAAACAAGATTGAGTACAATGTAGCGATTGATCAAGAGTTTAAACCATATTGGTTTTATTGTGAGACTCTTTTTTTAAAAGTTCTTTTCTAACTTCATTCTCATCTGTAGTGCAGCAAACATACCTCTTAGAATTTGCAGACCAGCTCTTAATACATTATGCATTTTCCTAACGAACTGCCTTGGCATGGCACCCATACTTTGTTTTTTTTTCGAGACAGGGTTTTTCTGTAGCTTTGGAGTCTGCCCAGGAACTCGCTCTTGTAGACCAGGTGGGCCTCGAACTCACAGAGATTTGCCTGCTTCTGCTTTCAGAGTGCTGGGACTAAAGGCATGAGCCACCACCGGCCGGCCGGCACCCATACTTTTTATGCTTTGTGAAATTCTGTTTATCCTTTAAAAAAAATTTCCTCTGGGAAAACGCGTTTCATGAGGCTATGGATAAAACATTACTGTTTTATTTTTCATATCTTCAGTAGGTAACAAAGCGAGTTACATCGTGGTTGTTTAATAGAAGGGGAACCGCATCCATTTACATAAAAGAAATCTGACTCTTAGAGTCGCCCCTCGGGTCAGTAGGCATGGACCACCACGGAGAAGATGCTGTACCTTCATTAGAAGAACCAGGGCCAAGCCCCATCTCATCCTCTGGCCCCGCCTTTCGTTCCTGCTCCGGCCACGCCCCCGTTCAGAGCCCCGCCCCCTGGGCTCCAGGGCGCACGCGCAGGGCTGGAGCTGGCGTGGCCGTCCCCTCCCCCAACCCCGCCGCGGGAGGGGTGCCGGCAGCCGCGGCTGCTCGGGCCGGCGGGGTCGGTCGTCGTCATGGAATACCTGTGGGATGAGATGACCCTGACCTTCGCCCGCACGTCCATGTTCCCCTTTTTTGACATCGCCCACTACCTGGTGTCGGTGATGGCGCTGAAGCAGCGGCCAGGTGAGTGAAGGGGCCCGACGCGCTGCGGGTTCCGCGTAGTCACTGCTGGGATGGCCGAGGACAGGGACGCCTGAATCCCGGGCAGCCCACCTCTCAGTACAGACCCCCTGACTCTGACCTAGCCTTAGGGAAATGGTGCAGACCCTTCAACAGAACGCCTCAGGTGGGACCGAGCACCTTGCTAGCGTGTTGAACCTTTCGAGTGGGTGGCTTTGCGTTTTCTCAGTCACTAGAGACAGGTAACAGTCACTTGGCATAGTTTAGCATCTGCGAACCGTGTGGGGATGTGATGTGGCTTTCACAACCTTGAGTTTCGTGAACCGCGTGACCAAAGAGCAATGTTTGATTTCCTGTCTCCCACTGGCTTTACTTTTAAAATCACCCCGCTTTTCCATTATTTTTCTGAGTCTCTGTCTTTGAGGTCAGGCATTTATTTCACTGCCTTCTTGCTGTCTGATGCTTTTCCTGGCCCAGAGGGTGAAGTGTGAAGGCTTAAGGATGACTGTCTTACCTCTTATGGACTACTCTTAAGTTTTTGAGAGTTTCTAAGTCCAAGTCATGGTTTGAATTGAAGAACAGAGCAACTGCGTGGGATACTGTTTCTCTGATTAAAAAGAAACTACATTTTTGTTACTACTCTATATCCGAAATGTGATCTTATCTTGTATTGACTAAGTAAGATGTTCTCAAAGTGTGTTTCACTTTTCATGTGCTTCCCTGTCACACGGTGTAAAAATTAATTATTTTCATAATGATATTCAGAGGTTATCATTCTTTTCATTGCCTTTATGAGTGTACAATTAAGTTTCCCAGCGGCCCTGTGACTTCCAGTGTTGTAAGAGATTGAAACAAGTGAGGAGTTCAGCCAGCTGTTTCTGTTTGAAGCTAGATGTTTAGGAGATTGCCTAAATACACAGCAGTGTGTCTTTTCTCACGAAATAGTTTTTGCTTTGGAAAAATAGTTATTTTTAGTAAAGAGCACAGTAACATTTAATGCATTATTTTAGAATTGGTATGTAAAAACTTTAAAAATTGTTGACATTTCTTTTCTCCTTCCTTCCTTCCTTCCTTCCTTCCTTCCTTCCTTCCT